TATAGTCTCAAGCATCGACATGCACATCGAGTACCACATAAGACGTGGGGTTGCCGCGTATTGAATTCCACTTTCTCTTACATTTTTTTTAATTTATTAAAAATATATTTTTATACATCTAATTAAACCCCTTAAACATATTTTCAAGAAAATATCAAAATAAAAAAAAAATAATTTTCCAATACACGAACCCCTCACCATCGACTTAGCATTTTCAATACAATGTTCATTACGCGAACACCATTTATAAAATTTTATATTTTATAAACAACTCCACATCACTATAGTGCACTCAACTCTTTATTTAAATATTATTCATCAACATTACACATATTTTCAACACTTTAACAAAATTATTTTTCAATAAAATAATTTCATAAATAAACATGCTAGTTACAACTGCATTGATTATAAACTATACGAATGTTCGATTTTCAAAATAGAATGTCCACGATTAGATGATATAACTTCTGATTGAGTCAAAAAGCATTCAAGATCAAAATGGAAAGAATGTAGATACAAACTTTGAGGAATTGATACACAATATAACGGAAAAGATGGGTAGAAAAACTTAATGAAAAACAGTTTAGAATGATAAATTGTGATATGATGCTTGGTTAAACAACTTAAATTAATTACCATGGTATTAATTTGTGGAAAGTATAAAGTCTACAGTATTATTAATATAGTATTGTAGAAAAAAAAGGTATAGGCAGAAACACGTGAATTAAACAGCAAGGTAATATTATCATCTCATTTTTATTTTAACTAATTTTATAGGAATTCTTGCTTCTGCAACTTTTGATATAAAATTTTCACCTAATTGACTAGTACCTTCAATATCTAAGCTATTTAAATCTGTAACAATATTCAAGCCTCTTTGCCATTTTTCTAAACCATTCCAAGCTATCATAACTCCATTATCTGTACATAATTTTGGTATAGGCCTGTATATTTGATAATTGAATTCATGACACAACAATGATAGAGCATTAAAAATATAATTATTACAAGCTACTCCACCAGAGACAATTAATTGTTTTTTGAAATCAGGTATTAAATTATTTTGTTGACAAAACTCCATAGCTCTCTGTGTTCTATGAACTAAATGTCTAGATGTGGCCATCAACATAGCTGCACATAAATCATTAACTTCCGGTATTAACTTATCAGCTGTTATCTGATGTTCCTTTTCTTTTCTACTTAAATGTAGTAATACTGATGTTTTTAAACCATTGAAACTAAAATTGCAATCTTTATAATCAGCTAGAGGTAAAGGCAGTTTGAATAAATGAGGATTGGTAGCTCTTGATCCAGCTAGTTCAACTGCTTGTCCCCCGCACATCTGAGCAAATTCAGGGACATTTCTTAGTTTCATTCTTCTAGCAACCTTATCAAACATTTCACCAGGTGCCATGTCAATACTTTCTCCAAGTAATTTAAAGTTCATTATATCTTCAACAACAGCTAATAGACAATGCCCTCCAGATATTAACAAAGTTAAGTATGGAAATTCAATGTTATGTTGCATTCTTGCAACTAGAGCATGAGCTTCCATATGATGTATTGGAATTATTGGTTTATTGTATTTACGAGCTAGATGTTTTGCATACTTCATTCCAACTGCAAGGCTCAGTGGAAGACCAGGTTTTAAGGTAACTGCTATCGCTGCAATATCATTCATTGATACTCGAGCTTGCTTCAATGTTTCAGATACGACTGGTTCTACAGAGCTGCTATGCAAATCGCGAGCAATATCTGGAATAATTCCTCCATGTCGTAAATGCATTAAATTCTGTGAATGTAGAGATTCAGCTAATAATTCGCCCTTTTTATTTACAATCGCACAGCCAGTATCGTCGCAAGATGTTTCTAAGCCAAGTATAAGGCTATCCGTGTATTTTCTTTTCGATAAAGCCAGTACATTCCCAACAGAAAACACATTTCTATTTAAATTAAAGTTCTTTAAAAGATTGATTAAACGCGGCTTAATAAGCATAATACTATTTTTATTTTTAAAATAACCTATAAAACATACATGACATTGACAGATCGTTGGAACATAGATATTTGACATTGACAAATCTATGTTTATGTCCAACCTTCTCAAAGGCAAAGGCAATATAATGAAAATATATTCTCATTTTCTCCACTGCTTTGTTATTTAAACACAGTTGCTTTAGCTGCCCTTATTGGATTTTGAACATTTTAACTTGAATTTTGCAATGCATGCATGAGATAAATTAAATTATTAGACATTTAAATTTATAAATAATTTTAAATGTCCAATGAGAGTCTATGTTAGCATTGTGCGACCTGGATCTGCATGTTTGTCAGTTTCTCTTGTCTATGTCTACTGTGTTTATGATTTTACTAAAATTTATTCAGTGTCCGAACTACCAACTTTAGTGCTAATTACAATTAATAATTATAAATAACCTTATAGCCCTTGCCAAATTATTGGTACCTACGTAACTCTGTTAATGTAGATCAAGAATACAGTGTTTTAATTATCTCATCACAATGGAATTTTTTGAGAAGATTTATGCTAACATTAAAACACAAGTTTTCAGTCTACCGGTTACAGTTCCCAAAACTGTAGAATATATTAATAAGTCTGTTAACAGAATAAGAATACCGCCTTTCACTAAGGACAATGTTTTGTTTTATTATTTGCCTTTACAAGGCCTCGTCAGTTACACAACATTATCAGTCAGTGTGATGAATCCACACTTGATGGTCAGGTATGTACTTCTTTAATTAGCATCTAAAATTTTTCTACTTCCGCCACCTTTCTTGAAGGCACTGTTCCATCGATGGATAATTATAATTATGTATTATTGTGATTCCTTAGACCCATACTGCAACTATTCAACTCATCTAATACCAAAACACTACATTCAATTAGACTAAATTAAGATAACTTGTTTGTATCATTTCAGATTATTTCCTCGGCGTGATGTGACGGATGTTTTATTCCTATCAGCGGGCAGTGGAGCTGGACTCTGGCTTTGGGGGCGACCACACATTGCCACCGCTGCACCGGCAAGGCGTTTCTCTTGGGCATTTCTTGGTGGTTGTCTATGGCCTTTAGGTTCTATATTCCTATGGGCAATTTTAAGAAGCTCTGTTGGCCAAAGACCAGTCATTGGCACAGTACTTGGCATTGCAACAGGAGCAACATTAACTAATATAGCATTAGATTATTTTAATTATGTAGAACTTATGTTCTGCGGTGAAGTACGACTCCCTGAAGAAACATATAGCCCTAACAGTGATGATGAAAAATATGATATTGACATATAAAATATCTTTAGCATGCTTGTTTGTTGTTAGTTACTTAAATGGGACTTAAGCATTTTTCAAAACTA